TGAACACTGGAACTGAATTTTGACAAACCTGGCATGGCATGCTCGTGTTTACTTTGAGCAAACAACGTTTTTGGTCATCATGCTATTCACCCGCTCAAAAAATATTCCCCAAACTTTACCACGCGAGATTTGTTTTGTGTTTGTCCAAGAAAATATATCTACAACACAATACACAAGACTTGAAATCGTCGATGTTTATGACCGAGAAAAGATTGAAAACAGCAAAGCACACCATCGGGTGCTGTAAATCCGACTAAAGACTACTTCGAAGAAACTGCAAAAAGCAATGAGTTACGTTGACTTTGAAGCTGAATCTCATCGTCTTTTATGCTTGAAAAATGGCAATCGATGGTGTATGTCAGAAGGTTGAAATAAAGTGTGTTCTATGAAGCAAAAGATTTTGCTAACGAAGTGTGCTCTTGGACACACTTTAAGCTTGCTAAAACTGATTTCCTTTGTTCTAAAGTGGAAGGGTGCTATCACCTTTAGCATCAAAGTCCTTTGGAGGGTCACATATTGACTGACATCAGAGAGCAGTAATTTGCCCCTTGAGGTGTTGCTCTCCTGCTTACTTATAGCGTGAAGAGTGTCAAATGGGGCACAAATCAATTCCTTTGATTCAACTCAAGAAGTGCTCTTTTCTTTGCACTTACAGTTTGTTGTCAAAGGTACATGTAATAATTCAAATGATGCTTTTTAGAAGGGTGTGCTCTTGCAAAACAGACCTTGTTACACTTTCAAAAATGTTAACGACTCCTGGAACTATTTGCAAAGGTTGAATGCCAATTTAATAAATTATAACTGGCCAAAGACCATGTTGTTTAATTTTGGGTATAGAAAATTAAGTCCTATGTCATGTTTCCTCAGGATACAGATTTGATGGGAATTCTATTGCCAGTCTTCAGACGGATGGCGGGTGAGTTTTTGGAATGAACTGTTTCCCTTTTGATCCTACGCACATAATTATTCAGGGCCCAGTTTCAACCTTTTGACCCTGGCCCTTCAAATGACCAGTATCTAATTTCTCCTTATATTATCACCCCTGAATCACACATTAAGGTCAGGAGAATAAAGGAAATGATCACAAACTTAAGAAGATCTTGATTGTTTCATACATTCTCCTAGTCAGCACCTTAGGAAATGTATAGAGAATGGTATGGAGAATATGCATACTGATGTCAGGGTGTAAAGAGCTGACATTGATTTGGAATTTTCTAACCATTAGCTGACCAGTGTTTATGTCTACGTTGTGCAGAGATTGTTTGTTTTGATAGATTTTTCCTTTCATTTTCAGATCTTTAATACCAATTACTTCACCTGTAATGCAGAACAGATTTAGCACACCACCAACTATTCTAAGACGAGGACGTAAAAGAAAAGTATCCTTCACAAATATATTGAATGGAGTTTGGGAAATTGAATCACTCTTTCTTCTGCATTCAGGGTTTCTGCAGGACCTGGAAAGTCCTGGAATTTTATTTTTCTTGGGAATGTCGGGGTTAAAGGTGTAATTTGAAGTCCTGAAAAAAATAGTTATAATTGAGCCTTGGAAAAGTTCTTCAAATTTGTTTCTGGAAAAGGGTATGTACCCTGTGCATGTTTTTGTCTTTATTGATTTCTGTTGTGTTGAGGCATATTCCTTAACACTCTTCCTTCAGTCTACTGACATGGAGTCCAGTGTCAATACAGAAACATCCTTCAGCAGTCCTAAAGGAGCAACCCCCATTAAGGCCTTGCCGTTCTCACCATCTCAGTTCCTTAATTCTCCTGGAAATTCAAGCAAAGTTCAGACTTCAACTCCAGCCAGTGAAAAATTTAAAGTCAGTTTAACCAACACAACACTGCATACTCCTGGTACACTAGAAGCAAGCTCAGGCGAGGATCCTTTCCGAACTCCACGCATCAGAAGAACTTTGTTGAGTGTATCTCCACGCACTCCAACACCTTTTAAAAATGCCCTCAAAGTGTTGAATGACACAAAAATGGCACATGTAAGTTGCATATTTGAAGATAACAGTTAATGTAAAAACAAAAAAAAAAGTGCCCTTACAGCTAGGATTAGAAATTTTCATGGTACAGCATAAGTGGTTGTTAACTTATAACAGCACTCTTTATAATCAATTTTTTTTTTTTTTTTCTTTCAATATTCTATGAAATGTTTTGGAGTGAACAATAAATGACAGCAACAACAACCTCATGAGTATTAAAATGAACATGGGTGACTACCTGTGTTAAGTTTGTTGAAAGACCCTGCTCCTCTCTGTATGCTTTTTCAGGGGCTGGGAAAGGGGTACATTTTCGGACAGGTGTGACTTGGATTGTAGCTATTATTTCAACTATGACTGGGCTAATGTGGAGATGAAGGGACTTCTTTGTGAACACTTTTTTTTGATGGAATTACTTCTTTATGCACTTGATACATGTACATGTATCTTAGAGGCCGACTTCAGGGGATTTATTTTACTTTCTGTATTGTGTACAAGAATTCCTCTAGAGTGACAGACATAAATCCAGCCTCTTACAACTGTATTGCATTTTCAAACTTACCGGTTGTATATATATTTTTCAGACACCTGACAATTTTGAAGCAGATTTCAATGAAATCATTAAACGAGAGGAGGAAGAAAGTGGTGTTCACTTATCATGCAGTGGGCAAAAAGCATCCTGTAGGGTACGGACTTCCCTTGAGGAAAAATATGCCAAGTTGAGCAAAACAACAGCATCCTCTGCTAATGGATCAGAGGAACAACCAAGTGCAATTAAACAAGAGCAAAGTTACATGATTGTTGAGTGTGTTGTGGTATGTAATGTGAATTACTTCTTTTTTTCTTATAATCACACCACAGGCATCCCAAGCTTACAACTCAAGGAAAAGCAAAAGATTATCTCATGAAATCATCACACACTGCTGTGTGATGCAGTTTTAAGTTACCATATTTATTCACTTATAATGCACACCATTTTTTACAACAAAATATGCTTGTTGGATCAAAATCTGCTGAAAACTTGGGGTGAGTCTTATAACCGAGTATTTTCGCGCAACAAAATCTTAAGATCACAATTTTAGCAGTACTTACAGTTACAAAAACGGGAGAAAACACTAGTTGTTGGTCATTAATGTTTTTAGATCTGGTGGTTCTAAAAAGAACTAGGGTGGCTCTGAAAAGAGCTGTTGTGGTGGTTCTGAAAGAACCGTTTCTTATACAGCCTCCATCAAATGACCAGGAAACTTATCCCACACGAGCAGGGCTTTTTGGTCTGAGATGTAGCGAAGATTGTGTGTAATCCAGTCCTTTATTCCTATGAATTAATAAGGAATACTACTTTTAGAATACTGATCAACTTCAAAAGATCAATAACAAAAGCAAACATTTACTGCAAAAGTAAACAAACAGAAATTTGAATATGTTCTTAACAGCACGTGCTCAGTAACATGATATCCATGAGTACAAAACAATCATTCGAACGATGTTTCAAATTCCTGGAATCGTGTTTGTGTCACTCGCTCAAAAATTTCCTTCTCTGAATAAACAGTGTAGAGATAGCACTTGCCCTTTTCATCTGTCCAGCCTTTTTTGTGTACTGAAACTTGCACCCTCTGTGGCATGTTGATATTCAGCTGTTGAACTGGGAGTTTTTCGCCATTTGCTTTGACTGCCAAAGCAACTGTGAAACTTTTTCAGATCCATCACACCTTTTGTTAACTCTCAACCTTTTGGTGCGTCTTATAACCGAGTATTTTCACAAAACTTTCCATTTGGGAACTTGGCTTGACTAAGTTGCCAAGTTTGGGGTGTGCCTTATAACCGAATAAATATGGTATGCTAGAAACCATTGAGAATTTGAATACGTTGCAAGGAATAGTATGGAGAATGAGATGTGGTCGATTTGCAACACTAATATTCTGAAATATGAACATTTTACACATGGGATTGATAAAACATACTCCTTGTGTGTTTGTTGAGGATTTCTCGGGTTTTGAGCTTGCTTTGTTGTTACTATTTTTCCTGTTATAAGATGAAAAACAGGGAAAAAAGTGATTCATCATTTATCACTACAATCAAAACAATAACTTCTTTTTATTCATACTTTTACTACTGGTGGTTTTTTGCTTGCCTCTGCAATTCTAGGAAAAATTGGCATGAGCTGTTTGTTCTCAGAAATGGTTTGTTTATCTTGTCTTTAGGAGGATTCAGGTGTTGTCCAGACTTCAGCTTTACCCTCGCCTTCCAAGGATTCGTCATTTATCAAACCATCAGAGATCTTTGGCCAACATAACCCCTTTGCCACACCTAGTTCTGTGATGTCTGAAACTGGAGTAAGTGGAAAGAACCTGCCCCAAACCACACAGGTTGATCATTTCTTATGCCCTAGTGCTGTGGATTTTCAGGTGACTTTTGGCTCTCAAGTGTTTGCTTTAGACCTCAGCATGTCACTAAGTAACACTTCCAATGCCGTACATTTAAGACATAACTGTAATGTTGTTATTATTTTCTTCTCCATATTATACCTAAATTAGGTTTGCAGAAAACATTTGGGTAATTCTTAAGCAAAATAGGGTCAAGATAGCTAACTTTAGCCCAAGTTCATGTGTTCAAGGTGGCATAGTGAAACTTAAAAAAAAAAAGATTACTAAAGAAAGCAATAAAAGTCTCTTATTGCTGAGAGTAAAATGCTATTTAGTCAAAACAAGAGCTGGTGGGTGAATGTTTTTTTCAAAATAAAGATTAATCATAAATAATTTATAGACTCTTTAATGGCTGATTAACATGATGAAGACAGATAATTGAGTGTTTTAAGTTCTTGGCAGCTTTTAATTTCATAGTTTCCCTTGAGGAAGTGAACCCAGTCCCTTAAATTCTTGCTCCGATTCTTTACCTCAGAGAGCTTGGTGATGAGCTCGAGCTTAGCCATGACTAGGTTTTTACATGCAGTTAAAAGAAATAGATCTAGATTGAAGTAAAATCTGTAAACTTAGAAGATATGTTGTTTCTTTCTTCACCATGGCTTTACAAAGGAAAGAAATCTAAGTCCCCTAAAGAATACAAATGCTTTCTAGCAGCAGATAGTTGTTCTCACATGGCCAATTTTTTACAATCATATTTTAGCGGCACAGAAGAAAAGGCCATCCCATGCGCATACTGCGATTTCAAGAGACACCACAGAAATCAGCACCAAAGGTATAGTTAAACTTCTAGTGCCAACACTGCACTGAGCTTCTGAGCAGAGTTTTGAGAAGCACAAACTTTGCAGTTGAAGTCTTCAGCAAATGTAATTAGCTTCTAATTTTCTTCTTGTCACACCTAAATGTTTTCTGTGGTGTTTTATTTTGGCAGCTTGACTCAGCTTGGGAGCAGGTGGCATGCGGTAAAACTCCTGATCAACAGCTGCTAACACAACAAGCTCATCAGTTTTTTGCTAATTACCGGCCGGCAGCACGCACACTTCAATTCAATACAACTACAGTGGCTTAAACTGAATAGTCTGGTTTGTCACTTATTTGTTTTCCTCTTGTGTGAACCCAGGATGTTATCAATGAATAAATCCCTGATATTCAAATCTAGATAATTTAATATTTTAAGAAAAAACAAAATAAATAACAATATAAAGAAAATTGTAGAAACAGAAAAACAGGTCAAACCAAAACATTTAATTTAAAAGCACACACCTATATAGTTAGACATAAGGAAAGGTTCACCAGCCATTTGAGTATAATCATTCTTGAATGCAAATTGCTGGAGAGAAAGCTTTAGGGTGCTGGAGTTTTATATCTCCTGAATTAACTCCCTTCTCTAAAGCAAAAAGGTGTGGCTTATAATTGAACATAAGGTGCACCAATTGTCTACTTTCAAGAAGACATTGTTTAGGCTTTATTTCAGAGCGATACAGCATGACAAAATCTAAGATGGTTTTGAATTTATATTAGTTGCTGTGAAGTATATGTGAATTAGAGGCTTTCAGAAAATCTAGTATCATTCTTCATGTTATGTAAACTAGAATTAAGTCACTGACCAGGAGATAAAATGTGGGCTGAAATCAAAATCTTAAAAGTTTATACCAGATCACAAAAAGAAAGGTCTTATTTGGTGACTTGCAAAAGTAGATTCAGCCTTTTTTAGGGTGAGATGTATATTTGAGGTACATTTGTACTGATTTATGCAGACTTGTTTTTCCCTTTAAAACATTGTTACATCTCGGCCAACATTTGGAAGAAAAGTTTGTTGCTGTATTAACTCTACACAAGGTCATGCTGAGAAGCACTTGTGGCAGGTTGCTGTGTGGTGAATACTTCCTTATTACATATAACAGGTTCAGATTTCTTTTTCGTGATAAGGAAATTCAGCCATTTTTGCTTTACTCTATGTGAGGTTCTGGAAGTTTCATTTGATTTAATTGAACTAGGAAGGTTTCCATGGTTGTGACTGATCTAGCTCTCGGGTCAGTGAACGCACTCCAAAACCTCCAGTTCAGTTTTGATTTTGATTTTAGGCTTTACAATTTTTCTGTCAATTCAGAAGCGATTTTCTATTGTTACCTCTGAAGGTTTCCTGTGATCCTTAAATTTTTTTCTGCAGATAAGTTAGATATAGTATCACTGCATTAATCCATTAATATCTCCATGCATCTCCAGTACAGTACAGTACATCCAGGAGTACTGATTCATCCAAATATATACTTATTCAAGTTCACTCGTTTTATCTTCACTGTATGACTAGAAACTTACGTCTCGTTAGCAGCCAATCTGGAGTATGTCACGTAACGTTCCCTGTTTTGTGACGAGCGTGGCGTGACATCTCCAATAAAGGCTGAGAAGAGGTAACTTGACAACTCTTGTAATGCAAAGGTGAATCAGTATTTTTAAGAAGAAAAATTAATCTTTTCTGAAAACAAAACGTGTTCAACAATTGGCAATGAATGTGCAGATGTTTGGTAGAATTGCAAGGAGCGAAATCGTAGAAAATGATAGGGATGTCATCCAAATTACTTTTAGAAAGTTTATAGTGGCTCTCTAACCACCAGTAGCTCAGTTTAATAAGAATAATATTAGCTAATATCTTTCCATGTGGTTGTCAGAGGTATGTCGTAGAGGTAGTATTAGACACTGTCAATGATAAAAACGATGTGTACGCGTTGGGTTATTTTTTTAAAACCATTTTTCCTTGTAAATACGTTTTTCTTTTTTATTTTGTACAGAAATAAAGTATTTCGAAATTCTTCCTGTGGGTTTTGTTTTGCGTTTTGTTTACCTGTTTCGTTAGCTTCGCAACATGTTTACGTTTTCCCTTCTAGGAAATTTAAATAAAAATAGGTCCAATCTTAAATTAAACCACTTTAACAAAGGGCACGCCCACCCCCCACCACCATCGCAATCTTCCTTATTGTAAAACAGATTAAAGTCCCCGTTTAATGGCTGAAGGCGGAAACCATCTGCAGGGCCGGAAGAATCTGATTTGGCCCCGCTAGATGAAATGCGCAAAGAGAAGAAAGGAAAGACTGGCGGCCATTTAACGAAATGCATACTGACTAAGATCGCGTAGAAGTGAAAATATTTGGCATGATAAGTAGTCCTCGCTGTGCTCGCACCCAAGTTTCCTTCGTAGGTCGATCCGTTTGGTTCCGTCTCGTGCGTTTACTCCCCCTCTAAGGCAGCACCTTGTGTGACGAGACCAAACAGCCGCCGACAAGGGGACTCCTGAAAACAAAAATTATTGATGGCTCTTCCACTCACTTATTAATTACCTAAAAATGATAATGGCGAGTGCCGTCTTCTGCCGCTTTTTGCGACTTCGTTGCCGACATTGTCCAAAAGTTACGAACTTTCAAAGTCAGCTCCACGTAGTGTTTTCTTGCGCGGGATCAAAGAGGGCAATCCTGAGTGGGTTGGATAGACCGCTAGAGCCTGGGTAATCAGGAAGGAACCCGTCGGTGCCTGCTAGGGATGCATGAACGTATTTTCTTTTATTCATTTTGTTCCGAAAAGAAAGAAATCCAAGCATTCAAACGATCGTGAGCTCTTTGATTTGTTTTTCCCTGGACTGGTTGATGATATTGTGAAGGAGAACGAGAGAGACAATGAAACCGGCGAAGCAGCTCGACATCAACCGCTGCCAGGGGAACTCCTCCAGCCAAAATTTTTTTTTCTGGCCCTTCCACTTAATTATCGATGACCTTAAAATGATAATGACGAGTGCCTTCTTCTGCCCCTTTTTGCTACTTTGTTGCAAACATCGTCCAAAAGTTACGAACTTGTAACTTTAGTCCGCTCCACGCACTTTCTTCATGAGCGGGATCAAAGCGGGCAATCCTGAGCGGCAAGATGGGCTCATTTTGCCCTCTCGGGTAGCCAATCAGAACACAGGATTCCCTTCACATTGCCCTTCGTTCCCCTTCCTTCATTTTGTTCTGATGGCAAAGAAATCTACGCAACCAAGTGACCGTGAGCTCTTTGATTCGTTTTTCCCTGGACTGATCGATGATATTGTGAAAGAGGACGAGAATGATAAGGAAACCGGCGAGGCAGCTCGACATTTGCGCAAGGTAATATATTTGAGCTTCAAACTTGTAAACGGAAAGCAGCATTAGGTACTTGAATCCTGTTAAAACTTACCCAGCGATCTCCGTGTTTAAAACGGTCGCTGTTTGGTGCTAAAATGCAATTAATCTGCCCTGACCAGCATTAATAAGTCAAATAATTAAGCGAACAACGTAACCCTATAACATACCGTGATAATACACCAAATTATTAAGAAAAGCCAATACTGATTTATGGTATTGTGGTGGCGAGTTGACCGTAAACCTGTGCAAAAAGTGGAGCTACGCTATTGGTGTTTTGTAAATGAAACAATGATAACTTATGCAAAGTCACATATTGTCTCTCACGGAAAGAACGCGTTTATATGCATGATGAATTGTTATGTTGTTGTTCAGTTGATGACTAAGTTTCACACTAGAGGCTAGTCACCGGCGGCGATTTCACTTTGAGTGGTGGCGAGTTTGTTGTGGTGGTGGGTTGACCGTAGATCTAGGAAGAAAAAAAAACTACTCCAGTGTTGTGTGATTAGAAGCAAAAAGCTTTGCAAAAGAGTAACTGCAAGATAAGTACACTCTCTTGAGGGAAGACAAAGTATCACGAGATTTCAAAGCTTGTAGACTGTTTAGTTCAGACCTTTACAAGTAAATCTTTATATTTGATTTCTTTATTTTTCCTGTGCACTATGACCATGTTTTCTTTGAAAAAAAAAAAAAGAAAACTCATTTATTTGGCCTTGGACCTTGTTGTGATAATAAAACCTTCATGACCCAACCCCAATCGCATCAATTAACAGGTGGATTTATTTTTGAAGACTATACTTTGATTTTTCTGTGATCATTGTATGTTTTTATTTCTCCCAGGTACTGGAGTATAATGTTCCTGGAGGTATTTGCAATTCATATTTTTATTATAAATTTTAGAATTAAGTTAAATTACATTTCCCCTCAAGTGTCAACTTCATACTCGATCAGTGAGAAAAGTCTTGGGAAACCCAAGTTTTTGATATCAGGTTTTATGGGTGTTTGACTCCTTCTTTTCATTCTTCTCATGGTATTTTAAGCATTATACTGTTTACAAAGAGACTTTTTTCAATGCGAGGAGATAAAAAAATAATGTTGAATAAATTTAAGATGATTTCAAGAAATTTCCCTTGAGCTAAGCAACTGAAGCTATCACAGCATTGAGGTAGCCAAAGGCTATCACAGACATGACTGTCCTTAATGAAAGGTTTTGTCCCATTGCAAGTTCCTCCCTCCCCAACATCTTTGCAAGTTTGCCACTAGAAGTAAGACAAATTCACCCCCACTTTTACCAGTTTTCCCTGACCACCTTTATCAGTTTGCCCCCAAACATTTTGCCATGTTACAGCAGAACATATTCTTTTCTTTTTCTGTCAAAATCATGTTAATTTTTGATCAACATGCAATTTCACAGCAAAACCATGAAGAAAGTTAAATCAACATGCAAATTTTAAGGCATGTGCCTACAGCATGAGTAAGGCTAACCCACTATATTATATTTAACCCTCAAAATTATACTGTAAGCATTGTTTTGTATGTGACTTGTTTAAGTAGCTGTTTCTTATTTAAAAAGGATGATAATGTTAAAAAAATAAGGATGATTTAGGATTTTCTTTGATTAACGATGAGCAACTTGGTTTATTTCTTTAATACCCTTTCTAGGAAAAAAAAATCGTGGCCTCTCTGTGATTGGATCTCTACGGCACCTTATTAGTCCAGATAAGCTGAAAGAAAAAGCTAAGAAGAATGCAGTTATACTTGGTTGGTGTGTGGAGTGGGTGAGTTTGAAAACTTCGTGTAGAAGCCATTTTTGTGTTGGAGTTTTTGCCTTTTTGCATAGATTACAGAGTTCCACATGTCTGTTTGGTCCATTAAAGCCTGGTGTAATGTGAAGATGAGTTATAGGACAGTCCCAGTAGTCTTTGTTTATAATTTACAAAACAAGCTGGAAGACAGGTTATAGTGACGTGACAGATACTGCTAAACCTGATAAACATAAACTCACTTGGCTTGGATTGTTGATTAAAGCTGATAGTTTCGAAAGAAACTGTTTGGGGCTGCGTCGGTGGGAGTGACGAAATAATTTGGATATATCAACGAAGTTGAAA